ACTAGGGTCCATCACCGCGCACGGAGGGAACGGACCAGGCATTAGTAAACAATTGACATGGCAGTAACTGCCATGTTGTGTTTGTTGCTTTGCCATTGATGGGCCTGAGTGTTTCATGAGGACTAGTAATGCACAGAAATGGGTAGTATAGATGACTATCCGTAGAAAGATGGCAATCGTTATCAATGCCGCTGGGGGGGGGGGTTATGGATGCTGGTGCTTGTTGTTCAAACGATGAGCCATATATACACATTATGATCTAGATTTGGGTGGCCCTACCGTAGACTCGGTCATAGTGACACTAGTCACTAGTCGCGCCGTAGTCACATTGGCTTTCCGGGTTCCCCAGGGATAAGAACACTCACACGCAGAAACGTACTCTGAGTATTCTTGTATGTACTTTTCCTTTGATGGGATCTGACCGTTCCACTCTTTCACAGGCATTGTGTTAACAGGGCTCAGCGCTCAGCCTTCATGGTCAAGTTGTAGAACTGTAACCTACTCCGAGTTCTCCCGGTGGTTTCTTTATGGTCCGTGAACGTATGCAAGACAGATTGTCGCCATGTTTGCGTGGGGAGTAACTGTAACGACGTGCTTCCTGATTGCACCATCGACGTTGCATCGCAGCGCAAGTGTATACACATCATTGTCTTCATCTTCGACAATGATGAACCTATTCAAAAGCAACAGCAACAGTATCAGTAAAGATTTTATCAAACTAAGCCCTGAAACCAACTCGGCTGTCGCTGCCGCTGCAGCAGAACACGCCATCCTGAATCCGCAAATTGCCTACAATCTAGGGAAGCATGGGTATGCAATCCTCGACAACTTCATTCAAAATGCTTCCACTCTTCAGGAATTGAGTTCCGACGTGGATACGCTCCGAGAAGAGGGTCGCTTTCGATGTGCTCGTGTGGGCCTCGACACGGAACTGAATTCCAACATTCGTATTGCTGAAAATTGTTTCTTGCACAATGGACGACAGGACGCGTATCCGAATACCGCGCGTCAGGCGACCTTGGAGAGACTCGTTCAGCTTCGGAACGAATTGTCACGCCTGTCGGGGGAATCATTGGATCCAGAGCTTGATGACTTGTTGTATGTCTACTATCCAAATGGTGGATTTTATGCTCGACACGTTGATGCTACGGCGGGAACACCAACTGTCTTGAGGAAGTTTTCCATTCTCCTGTATCTGAATACTAGTGACTGGACCGATGACATGGGGGGACAGCTGCGTCTTTTTGTAAAAGATACGTGCATCGATGTCCTACCCATAGGTGGCCGACTCGTCATATTTGAGTCCGATCGGATCTCGCACCAGGTTGTGGAAACAAATCAGCCTCGTCTGGTTCTCGTGGGATGGTTCAATCGATCACCTACAGAGAGTGAAATGCTAGAATTTAGTGGGACCAAATAGACACAGTGACCTTGATTCGATGTAAATGTCGGGTTGAATCATATCGCTAATTCGAAACACATGCTGTATGCCGCCGAACATGAACAGAGCTCTCACAACAAGAAATTGGATTTTATTTTGAATACTGCTAATAGAGACGTAAGTTGTCTCATCCCTTCTCAAAGCCCAATATCCGGTAGTTGCAAATTGCTGGGACTCGTTGTCCCTTGCACCAATTCTTTCGCCATTTCCATGCCAGACTTTTGTGCTGCAGCAACATCCTCCGGCGAAGGCAATAATCCCTGACCAACATAAAAGTTACGGACCGTTTTGTCAGTATTGATAATTAGCAAACCGGTGACTAGACCCAAGGCAATCAGCAGACCGACTTTGGAAATGGTCGTTCCAAGATCTGGAAAGGTCGTTTCTTTCAACTCAAACGTGTATTGATCAAGCACAGGTTGAAATCCCAAGGGATCTGCTTGACGCATTTCATCTTCCGTCATCTCATCTTCCGGATCGTAGTTGATGCTTAATTTTTCAAATCCGCCGTCGGACACCTTGGACAAGTCCAGACCAGCAAAGGAGGAACCCACACTCCCACCGCGTTGGGCGGCACGTTTTTCCACCTCCCGGAGGGCATCCTGGGAAGCAGTCTCCATGCCCAAGGTCAAGGTCCGCGCCTTGACAGCTTCGCGAAGTGCCTCTTGTGCTTCGGCTTCCGACTGAGTATGAATTTGAATATGTCAGCACGTGTGTTAGTTCAGCAACAGTGAAAGTGGACAAGATATATCGCATACCGTCGTAAGGTATAACCCACTAACACTTTAGAAGGCCAACACTCTCGTATACAAGAAAAATATTGCTACTCACACCAGGAACGCCTTGGTCTGACTGGTCCATGAGATCCATTTCTTCCTTTCGTTTCATCAACGTCGACGCCGCATCATCGTAGGATGTTACGGATGGAAGTTCTTCCTCATCTTCCCATTGATCGGACAGGAATCGTCGCGTCGATATCGTCTTCGTATGACTTTGTGTTGACTTTGATAGTGGATGCAGTGAAAAAGTCGAAACACTCGAGAGAAAGAGTGGGAACAGAACTAGAACTGATTGTCGAAAAGAAGTCATCATCGTGTTGAACTTTTGTCGTGCAATGTGGATTCCAAACCCAGTGTCAAGTGGCTGCGAGAGTTGAGGGTAAGCAAAGAGAAACAAAATAACCTGTTGTGTGACGTACTCGAAGACTCTGAGTATGTCATGCACTGAGTACATGGACAGATCGTCTGCCCGTCTGACCAAATTTTCTTTTATCCAATCATACCCGATAAATGCACATCCAGAGGCGTATCATACGGCTGCCCCACAGCCCGCACAGAGAATATCGTCCGAACCACGTACGTTTCCACCGGAGCCTCAAGTTCTGAGGCGCCATCAGCCATCACGGTGGAGCTCCTCAGGGTTTGCTCAGCAGACCGGAGGCTGATAGCACCTTGTTGAAGCCAAAAACAAGATGAAGTTTTCCTCTTGTTTGGTCTCGTTGGCGTTTGCTGGTTGCACCAGTGCCTTCACTATCAATGCGTAAGTACTGGAAGCCATTGTTCTTGCCTTGTGTTTGAGAACGACAACAAGTTCACATGCTACAATCGCATGAATAGCCGATTCTGTTACTGTGTAAAGAACAATCCTGTCCGTCGTACCGTTTTCTAACTCTATCATATATCATCACCATCACATCCCGTAACAACCTTGTGTCAACGATTGCATTCCACTCATTTCACACATCCCATACATGACAAACACGCACACGCAGTCCACAAACAAAGTCCAGTACCACGACACTCGCCGCCACGGCTGTGCTGACGAAATTCGATCGCAAAAAGCAAACCTACAAGGGGCCTCGCATCGACGTCACCGATGCTGGACTCGACTTCTCCTACGCTGATTTCGCCTCCGCCGTCGCCAACACTGACTATGCATTCAACCGCAACGATATCGTGTCGGGAGTCTGTGTCGAATACGACAAGGGAGGTTGCATTGTTGATATTGGTGCCAAGGCAAGTGCCTATTTGCCTGAAGCAGAGGCTGCTTTGATTCAAGGCCAAGGAGATTCCATTGAGAATCTCGTTGCTCTGGATCAGGATATGGAATTTCAAATCATCTCCGATGAAGATGAGAACGGTCAGTTGCTAGTGTCGATTCGCAGAATTCAGTACCGTAAGGCTTGGGATGCTGTCACTGCCATGCAAGAGTCAGACCAGGCATTCGAGGCCGAAGTCGTTGCCGTCAATCGCGGTGGAGCTATCTGTCTCGTCGAAGGCCTTCGTGCCTTCTTACCAGGCTCGCACTTGTCGGGCATGATGGCCACTGAAGACATGATCGGAACCAAGATCCCGCTCAAATTCCTAGAAGTCAACCAGGAAGCACAAAAGTTGGTTGTCTCCAACCGCAAGGCTCTTGTGGAACAGCAAATGGCTGACCTCTCCAGAGGCGACATCGTTACTGGTATGGTTAAGGCACTCAAACCATACGGTGCATTCGTCGAAGTCGGCGGTATGTCTGGTTTGTTGCACATTTCCCAAATCTCCTACGATCGTATCGACGATCTTGAGAAGGTCCTGCAACCCGGAATGCAAGTCAAGTGCATGATTATCGACCACGACAAGGTCAATGGTCGCATCGCCCTATCTACCAAGACTTTGGAACCAGAACCTGGTGACATGCTCAAGGACCCTGCCATGGTGTTCGCAAAGGCGGAAGAGACAGCACTGAAGTACCACGAACGAATGGAGGCCGAGCGAAAGGCACGTGAGGAGGCTGCACGCGATATTGTCCTAGGATTGGGTGATTCCTTGGATGACTTGGGCGTGAGCGATGAGATGTCGTCTGATCCACTTGCCGACGTCTCCGACAGTCTGGACTCTCTTCTTGCTTAGCGAGAATCAGAATCATAACATGAAACTAACGAAATTTAATGTGATAGTGAATAGCTCGTAATGTGTGGTACAGTACCGGTACTTGTACTGAGTACTATTTTACTAATTGTACTCTGTACTGCATGTCCTTAATACTTGAGTCCTCAAGTACTGTAGTAACATTTTGTAGACTGTCTGGGAGTGTTCGTGTACTGACCGTGTGCTCATTGGAATATATAGAAATAAATATACATAAAAAAAGATATAATTGTAATGAGTAGATCTCTGAGTTTTGAGAGTCTATTTGTAATACAATTAAAACCACCTCATTAACCATCCGCACCATTGGTTTAGTGGTAAAATTCAACGTTGCCATCGTTGAGCCCCGGGTTCGATTCCCGGATGGTGCACACATCTTCTTTTGGTTACGTTGTCAACACTCGAGACTCGCGACGCAGGACAAGTGAGTGTCTTACACCCATCTCAATTGCAACACCGCAGAGTCCTGCGTCTTATCCAGATTTTCTATACTGTACTACAACTCAGTACTGGAGTAGATCTGTGTACTCCGGTAACATGTAATAATAGCTGGTTCCTACGCGAAGATGAACTAACTGTATAGAAAATTTTCTTTTTATATATACTGGATGGATACATCAAGAAAAGAATTCTCCGCGTTGGGTTTTGCACCATTAGTTTAGTGGTAAAATTCGACATTCCCATTGTTGAGCCCCGGGTTCGATTCCCGGATGGTGCATTTTCTTTTATATTCCTTGATCTGCAATCGCAACATGATCTTAACATAAAGATGGCAGCTACTCTTCTAGTACATCCAGGAAGGGTACTGCTCTTAGACTGTTCCTTAACCTGGCACACTGAATCTGATGCATTCGATCGGTTCTATATTTCCCGCATTTTTGGCCGGCTTGCAGGTCCTGTGTGTTGCCATACCTTAACAAAAGAAAACAGTGTGTTTCGAAAACGCAGATGCGAACACACTGGTTTCTACTTTCTACTGTCAATTCTACCTAACCTCTACGGTAGATGCTAGTACTTTGCCTTTGTTGGCAAGGAAATGCATACACTCGTCCTGAGCAGTACCATTATCACTGGTTTGTTCAACACAGAATGTGTTGCCCGCAGAGGATGCAGACAGATTCATACCACCATCAGTTGGGAGAATTGACATGTCAAAATGATCTTCAACACTTCAACTCTGTGGAAGAAGATTGTCAACCATCAGTCATGATTGCAACACCAAGAAAATTACCAATTTTATAGCTTGACATATGTACGTATCTTCTGAAAGAAAGAAGCAATTGGTTTAATGTACTCCAGTACTCTTATTCCATAATGAAACTAGCTAGGACATCACGACATTCATTTCTATTTGACGTCACTTTTACGTAACTTCTCATGGACATGTCATATACATGTCTACCATGCACTCATATATCCCCGATTGGTGGATGAAAGTATGATGTGGAAACAAAAAGAATTCTCGGAACGCGTAAATGCGCCGGTCCTATGGGTCAGGTTCAAGTATGAGGACTTTGCAGCCAATCCAGAACTGGAAAGTTTCGAAACCCCGCCGACCTACCAATGTTACTCTGACGACATTGACACCAGAGAGGCATTATAAGCCAGGTCCGCCATTCTGATGACAATGTCAATATAGATATGCATCATCAGTTTGATGGGCAGAAGTGAACCTCCAAATCGACGGTTAGATGATTAATGGCAAGATGACAGGACGGAAGCATATGGCTGATAGCATATTGGTTGGAAAGGCCAATGCTAACCCAATATTTGAGTTGAGAACGTACAGAATTGAGTTCCAGACAGTCAGCTGAACTTGCTGCAAATGTATTTGCACAATACATGAATGCAATATGTGACATTGAAGGGAGTCAACAATACCTAGTACTCCCTGACTCAATTGGTGGCAAGCATAGGAAGGATGAAATTGCGGTAGAAAGGCTAAAATGTACACGCAATACTAAGGATCTTATGGACAAGCTAGGAAGGCAAACAGCAAAGGGATGGAAGCTGTGTTTTGAGTGGAAGCATGGGAGCACTTTGTGGAAATGCCTTGCTGACCTTAGGAGTCAAATCCCATGAGATTGCTGACTATGCGGTTGAAGCCAGAAGTTAGAAAAGACAATTGGTACCAATACTATGTGTATTGGCTACTTTATGTCAATGAAACTAACTACATTGGGAAGCCATCAACATGGGTTTTGTTCGCTCAATTTAATAGATCACTTCTTCAAAACAAAGCCAGGTTCTATCCGCCGAGACCACCAATTCTACTTGCTGGGTGCAAAGCTCTGATGGCTCACTTGTTTCAAACAAAGTGCATGCTTTTTTGGGCAACGAGCGCAAGTAAGTACGTTCAGGTTGCAGTGGACAACATGAAAGCGTTCCACGACAAGCATTCTGCAACTAATCAATGGGCCAAAAGGATGAGTGGCCCCTTCCATTTGAATAATCATCCAGAAATCGACACAGCCCTGGAGTTAAGAGCTTATCAGGCTTCATTCTATCAAACTCAAATTGGTGTTTTCAGGTTGGTGTGCATGGAGCACCATGGTTGGATTGATATCATTACGGAGGTGTTGGAACTGAGGTCGTATCTAGCACTGCTACCATGTGATGGACACTTGGAAGCAGTTTTCCACTTGTTCAATTTCCTAGAAAAGTGTCAATGCGAGGATTTTGCTTGATCTGATTGATTTGAATGCATTCAAAGAATCTGATTGATGGATTTACCACGGGAATTGTCAAAAGTGGCATTCCCACTGAACTCACCAATGCCCCGGTGAAATGATGTGGACCTGCATCTTTTTGTTGATTCTGATCACACTAATGACATGACGAAGCTCCAATCTTGTACCGGTTTCTTATCTTATTGAACTGAACACCAATCACTTGACTCTCTATCAAACGGTTGACCATAGAAACCAGTGTCTTTGCTTGGCGCAGAGTTTGTCACAATGAAGCACCAGGGAATGGACACTCTTTGTTCCCGCTTTCCGGACTGTCATTCATCTACGGTGACAACATGTTCTCTGTTCTTCACGAGATTCAGTGTCTTAAGGTGATGTTTCAAAAGAAGTCAAACTCAGAGTGTTGCAACGCCGCGTGAGGCAGTTGCTACAGGCAAATGGCTTTTTGGTCTTGTTGTCACATTTGACAACCCCTCTGATAACTGCACACTGCCCAATCATGATTATTCATGGTGGACAAATAAGGGGTGATCACCTTGTTGGCTGAATATTGCTTGATATAGTTGACCACAAGTGATAGTCCCCATCAGTGAGGTTCACAAGTTTCTGGGTTTCCTTGCTGTTGCTATGGATATCCTGTGACAGTCGCACGCCTTCCCAAGACCAGACTGAGTAAATTGCTTTCTGCAATCTCAAGTACTCAACAAGCAAGCTGTTGATTAGAAGAATCTGCTTCAAAAGTCAAGACTCCAACCATCATGTCAGTTCCACCATCTTAAGGCTCTACATCTCTGACAACCCACTGCAATATTGCAATATCTTGAGCTACGACTCTTGCAACCGATAATGAGACTGTCATTGAGCTCCCAGCTCCAATGACTGTCTTGCCAGTCCTTCAAGTGCAAAGCCTCTATTTTCACTCACCAGCCATTGGTGAAATCAATCTGGTAACCAAGGATGAATGGTCTGCCTGGACAGGTGGAAAGTTTAACAATATCTGGACAGGTTTGGCTAGCTCCATTGCCCTTCTTGAGCACACCTCTCCCAATCAGCTCCATCCTGTCTATGTTGCTTTCTGCAGCTACAACTTCAGGAAAACTGGACACAAGATCTACTTCAAGTCAATGGATGATTTGATCAGCTCCAGAGTGGTGATTGGGAACATCTCGCTCAAAGATACTGGGATGGACTCCATTGCTTACCTCAGAGACCAAACTGATGACACCGCGGTGACTAATGTCATTAAGGCCCACACCTGGTACACAGCCCAGTCAGAAACCCTCGAGCGAACAGAGATCACGTCGCAAGTCACGAGGGCTTTCGAGTCAACTTCAACTCGAGATCTATCTTATGACCCGAATTCCGTGTACGAGAACATGTGATGTCACACGACTCCATTGGAATTCTGAAATAGGTAGTACCGCAGTAATGACATGTATGAACAACTTCAACACAAGTCATGTGCAACGTAACGTGGTACATGGGGCAGACATTAACACAAATTTTGAAATTTTGCAGTATGATGACCACCCAACTTGTTCCCAATTCCTTTGGAACCACATCTACACATATGGAGGCTGACGAATCGACGCAACTCCACCACGATTATGCTATGCCGCTGACTGGGAGCGATGATGCTACAGCGGACACCCCGTTCAAGCGCGTCCTGGAAGAAAGTCCACAACGATTGGAAAGGTTGTCGAAACGAAGAGAAGCCGCCTCTTGGCGTTCGAAGCGTTTGGCTCGATCCTTGAGAAGTCTTCAATCTTTGGAGCGTGGAACAGCTTTAGACAACGACGATTCATTCGATTTCGACGACTTGGACGAGGACCTACGAGATTCAATCCATCTCACCAAGCAACGATTCATGTCTCCGCACGTGATATCTGACAATGAAGATGAACCTAAGGATTCTGTCTACCACACCAAACAATTCTTCAACCCCGCACCTACTAAGGCGGAAGATGTAAATACGACAGCAATGAATCCGTTGGCCTCCTGGAAAACCCAAGCGAGTGATTTTCTGCCACTGGCGGCGATTCTGTCTACCACACCAAACAATTCTTCAACCCCGCACCTACTAAGGCGGAAGATGTAAATACGACAGCAATGAATCCGTTGGCCTCCTGGAAAACCCAAGCGAGTGATTTTCTGCCACTGGCGGCAAGAGCAACAAAGGCTGCATGAGCCTGCACGATTGCCCCGTTGTGTAAAATTGATGTATGCAATGAATAATCCAAGAATTATAAACATTTTTGTTCCATACTATAGCATAGTAGTTCATTGCAACTATACTACGAGTACTCGAGTACGTCGTAATCAACCCTTCCATATCGGTTTCCAAGTATTCATACCAGGTACTAATTCCTACTCTACTAGACCTACTTCCGATATGAGTACAGAGTACACCGAATACATCTACCATCTACATGTACCTGCAAAGTACCTGGTAGTGAATCCTATAAGAATGCACTGAATGACCTCACTAATGACGTCTCAGTACTACTCAGTACTGATGCTCTAACTTATGTACTACCGGTAGAGTCCTGTACCATACAATACTCCAGCAAGACAGTAACTTCATTTCACTACAAACTGATTGGATCTACGTAGTAAACTACTTCAGCACAATTAGAGACTGTTGAATAGCCAACATGTCATAAACGCAATGCTGAAGTGTCAGAAAAGGTGAAATCAAGACTTCTTGGTTCAAATGTAACAAGAAAAGCAAGGTGCTCTTGTACCTGCTGCACAACTAGCTCATTGATGTTCTTTGCAAATCCACCCTTCGATTGATGACTCTGCAGTGCATGAAAGATAAGTCCAGCATGTTAAGATCTGGCAACTTTGCAACTTTGTATGCTGCATGCCAGTCATTGTTGCAGCAACAAATGCTGAATCATCTTCATCAGCAATATGTGCAAGTGCATCAGATTGTTGTGTAGTCATGCTGCATTCCCGACCAAGCCACTTGGTCTCAATGACAGGAATCCCCATGTAGATTAGGAAGGATGGAAACTTGTCTCAA